AAATCATGAAATTTCAGGTTTCACAGAAAACTCAGTGAAATTCCAGAATTTTAAGGGACATAAAGACGAGAATTCCTTAATTTATTTGAATTTCCAATCTAACATGAATATTCAGTATCAAATTGCATTGAATTTTCAGTGAAATGTGAAATTTCATGATTTTTCCCCCTAAATCGCATTCAATGTCACTGTCCAAAAAAATTTAAGAATATATTTACCAGAATTTTTTGATTTTCTATCCATTTTCAGAGAAAAATTAAACGGAAATTTATCGTGCTGTTTGATTTTTTCACTAAATTCTGAATTTTCAATGACAAGATTTTCTGAAATTTCAGTGGAATTGGAACGCGATCAAAATTTCCGAAATTTGGCACGGAAAATTCAGACAAAAATTTTTAACAGTCAATCCGAAACTAATTTTTCAACAGTAAAGAATATATGTTCATAATCCAAAAATTTTTATCAAAAAGTTTCCTGCAGAGCCCGACAATGATTTTGACTTCCATATACCAGAATGACAGTACATCTTAAGCTATTTATCTCAGAAGAACTTCTCACAAATCTATCAGTGAAAATTTCAAATGCAGCGACCAATGTACACGCCAACATGCTCCACACACGCTTCATTACATTTACACCTCATGACGTCATTCTTCGGCCTAAGCTGATGAAACTGGGCGATTTATTTCACAAGAAAGCCGGAGATATTGCATCCATCTTTTTCATGGACTCTTGAACCTAGATAGAATTTATTAGAGACCATCGAGGATCATTTCCCTGAAATTCTATAGTGAATCCAACATCAGAGTGTACATTATTCCATTTTTTTTAAAAAGAAACTTTGCCTCCGCTGGCTCGCAATGTGCGTAATCATATCAGAAATGATAACAGGAAGACCCCACATGTTTTTCATTCTACACATGCTCTCGTGTCAACATGGCAAGTATGAGTATTCAATGATTAACATTTTACAGAAAGTAATTCACTTAAAAGAATTTTGAATTCAATTCGCTATCTGCTCTACCAAAACGCAATGCTGGTGTCAGGCTGTTCCAATCACAACGAACATTGTTGCGCATCAGATCCGCCGTGAACCTGGTCGCACTGGATAGAATTGGTAAAGACCTTGATAGTCCGAGGGTCGCCAAATGCTCCCCGCAATCAGTGGTTGACCTCAAGAGTTGAATTTCATATTAACGAAACCCCTTCCTTCACCGTTCTTCGTATGGCTGAGTAGGAGAACGGTCGACTATCTTTCAAGATGTTTTTTCTCCCATTTTTTCCCAGGTTATCCGTTGAGCCTGTCTGGCTGATAATTCTCATATTAGTTAATAACTGCACTCAATAGTAAACGGACGATAAAGAAGGATTAATGAACCTTGCAGACATGTGCATAATCTCATCAATATAACTGTTCTATATTCATTTTTTTTATTCTCTATCTCTCCTGCAACGGAGATTAGGATGATTTGTTTTATGGCTGTTGTCACACAGACAATGAGTGTTGGAATTCATGCCTGAATACAAAAATTAATTTCTTAGTTTAGTTAAACATTTTCTCTTTTCCACCCAAACACTCAGGGTGACATTTATGGCTTTTCTTAGAAAATAGAGACGTGAAGAAAAACAGTCCTCATGGTGAGTCACAAAGGAGAGGCTGAAGAAAATTGAAACAAGGGCCTTTTGTCAAATGGGTCCAGAGAGTGAAAACTCTCATGACTTTTAGTTAGTCGTCCTAGAGACTTCGTTGGAGAAAGATATACCTTCTGCGTGCGATCATTAAAGAGTTTTACTTTGAAGAATAAAACTAATGTGTTTTTATTGAGTATTCCTACACATAATCCAATAATGAGCGTTAAAATTTTTGCAATAAAATCGTTAATAGTAGAAGAAACAACAGTTTGTTCTGTTATTTAACGTGACGAAATGTCGAAATAGAAAGGATTTATTCAACGATTAATCTTCATTGCTAAATCACAAATTGGAAAATGGAATCCAAAGGAGATGAGTCATAAACACGCAAAGTTCATTGTGTCGTGGAAAACTAATGTGGCACAGATATGCGTCAATTGGCACTCTCTCATTGCACCATGGTCTCAATACATATTTTTCTATGGATAACACTATCTCTAAGGTTTTAATCACAAAATTGTGACGTAGAATGTACGAAAACCATACGGAAAATGTATTATATAGCATGCATCTGCAAGACCTTTGAGGCATTTTGAAGAACTCAAATTGTATTCAGTATCCTTGGGTGCTGTACTTCGATCAATGCTGAAATCACCACTTTCGTTGCTATCTATTCAAAGTTTCTAAAAAAAACATCTAATATCCATGGAAAAGCACTCGAGATTCATTAGCGCAAGTATTTTCAAAGATCTAGAGTGCGTGATGTAACAGCCTGAAGCAATTTTCTCTATTGTAGGTGATATATTCTCAAAGAACCCTTACTTGTTTTTCCAAAATCGATTTAATCCAAGAAATGACATTGAATCTATCTTCAGGCATGATGAGGTATTTTTATATGACTAAGGAGGGATGATCATTCAAAAAGTCACAATTGTAGAGAGGATTGAACAGTGAACGTTCTACTGATTTCGGGAAAATCTTCGAGATATCGCACTCGAGGATTGCGCATGCTTGATCCGCATGCAGAGAGAACAAGAGCCAGCTGGTAAAGGAGAACAGCTGGGTATCAAGGTCATTTCATAGGGAGGTACGCGGACAACTCGACTTTTTCCGATGGTGGGGAGAAGTTATTTGGTGGGGTGGGAAATGATGGGAAAAAAAGGAAAATGAGAGAAGCATCACTCCGGTTATCGGACGAGCCCTCGCCTTCGACGAATACAATGCTGCCAGTTGGTTTTATAAAAGAGTGTTAGCTAAAATGTTATGAGACTTATCATTGGTGAGATTATGGTGGGTATTATCTTGTCGTGTGTGAACAGCACGTGGAAACGTGGCATTGAAGAATACTTCACCATGCCAATTACAAATATTCGTTTTTGCTTGTAAACGTTGAGGCGATATTTTTTTTTTCATCATGGCGGGCGGAAAACAGCGTGCTTACCACCTTCGCCTTTGGTCCGCATGACTTCCTTGTTTTGCCTCTCTAGATTACAAATATACTAGTAATTTTCTGTAATTCTTTTCCAGGTGATTTTTCTGGTCAATTTCTTTCAACTTTTTCAAATCAACCGTTCATTCTAATGCCATACAGTGTTTCGGAAATTTTTTCGAGGGAACGCAATTTCAAAACGCTAAAATGAACTTGTCTATCTCTAAATTCCAGCAAAGACTTGTTTTTTATATTCATGTATAAGTCTCGAGTGCTCCAAAGTTTCCTTATTTTTCATCTTATAAATACGATTCAATAACGAAGCGGTAAAACGGTTTAAGTCGACTTCGCGCTTAGCTGAATTTTCGGAGAATATCTCCGAATCTAAGGGAGATAGCGAAATTTTCATCGTGACCTTTTTAGTAGCTCTCAATTCGATCTACAGAAAAGGTTATAAGAAAAATTTTGCTATTTGCCTTAAATTCCAAGATATTTATTGCAAACTGACTAATAATCAAAATCGACTTAAACCGTTTTACCGCTGCGCTACTGAATCTACCTCATCTGGATGTTACCTTACATCCATACCATCCCCACAGTTGTTAAGAGAACACCTATTTGAGTTTATAATCGAGTCCTCATGCGTATTCTGAGGGAAAAAATTTGTCCATATGATAAGAAAATATCTCCAATTGTATTTTTAAGCGGTTTCGTAAAATTTGTTTGCCTTTGAATGCGCCCTGTAGAGGGTAAATTATTCTCATAAATCTTTATAGCCTATTTTTCCATCCATCTCTTCACCTTTTTTCTATAATGGAAGGCCTTTTTGTACCGGTTAACAGTTTGTGATATATGACGGAATTGAACAGTTTGTGATATATGACGGAATATGGGAATAACTAGAGAAAATCGCGGACCCGATCGATTTTGCCCCGTATAACCACGAAAGACTTCATTTTTTACTGTTTTTACCTTCAAAATGCTTCTTACGCCGTAATTTTCATACGATTTTAGCTTTTTTAAAATGTTTGTTACACTCCAAAAAATAAAGTTGAACATACGTTATACTTTGTTCGCAATAAGTCATCAATAAATGAATTTTGAATTTCATCAATTTTTCGCGTCTCTAGAGTAGGACTAAAAATTCATGATTTTTAGTAATTGAGCATTGTAATCATGCCTAATCTAATTTTTGTGAACGAAAGAAATGGCAGGTTAAAGCGAAAGGGTGCCTGCCAAAAGAAAATTTATGAAATTCAAAATTCATTTTTCATTTTTTTACAGTAAAAATTTTTTGGTCATTCATATTGAGAATAATCCCGATTTCCTTCCTACCTCATTCAAATCCCATCCAATCATTTCCTATGACGTCACAAAGATGTGGACCGCTATATAAATTCATAATTAAGAGATAATTCATGATCTATTGCAAATAAAGTAAAACAGATGTTTAACTTTATTGTTTGGAGAGTAACGAACATTTGAAATAAAACTAAAATCGTATGAAAACTACGGCGCAAGGAGCATTTTGAAGGTAAAAACAGGAAAAAATGAAGTTTTTCGTGGTTGTACGGGGTGAAATCGTGCGGGTCCACGATTTTCCATAGTTATTCCCATATTTCGCTATATATCACAAACTGTTCAGTGGGTCCCAAGTCCCAGTGAAGACTTAAATTTCACGAACGTATCCCTTCAAGTATTATTTTCATACTACCTTTATAATATTATTTTCCTTTCCATGTTTCAACTAGAACCATTAGCGTTAGTTTTAGTAGGATAAGTTTCACTTTAAATGAAATTAATGGTAAACGAGCATAGAAGATTGTCAATTACAATCTATTATTTGATATCATCACATGATGCATAAAATTCTCATGACGTAATTCCCATAAACTCGTGGGTTTAATCGGATGACGATCATACATGATTGTCAACTCACCGTAGAGTGTCGCCAATATGTGATGAGTGCATGAATGTCATCGCTTGGTGCATAGAGCAGAAAATCTCGCCATTCATTGAAACTTATACTTAAGCTCCCATCTCGATCCATCCTGGAATTAAAATACAATTAAACTCCTGATAAACTGGTGATCATCTGCCATGGCAGTATTTACACCATTTATGGATATTTACCTTTGCAGTAATTTTGTTGCTTCAGCTCTGTCCATTTTTATTCCCAGATCCTTATTGAAGGAACTTATCAACTCCTCCAGATCAATTTTACCTGAAAACGGGGTTATACAGATAAGGGAAAGTAAGTAATTGTATGAAAAAAGTGGGACACTGGAGGAGTGTTGGTAAATTTATTTTGAACCTCCATGAACTTCTTTTTCTTCCAGTTATATATTTTATTATTCTTCTTGTAGAAGTTCCATCAACAAGCATTTCTTTCTTCTCAAGAATCAATTATTATATTTTTCTTCGGTGCATCAACAGTTTTCTCTTCCAATAACTGAACACATATTATATGAGAATTGAATGAAACTTACAATTTCGGAGGGAAAGATAGACACGTTATAAAAGATTAATCACCAAATAAATGATGGTAGTTATCTTTTTAAATTTATGTAGTGAACTTTCGATGAGAAAGTTTTTCTAGGGAATGTGGAGATGAAAAAAAAGTCATGCAGCCTCTTTCGGCGATTCTGTATGAGAGATGACTCAAAAGTGAGAAAGATGAGTTCGAGATGTGAGTCTAACCGTTTTACAACTTCAATGATATTTTGATACATTCTGTACATAATTTATGGCTCGTATTGTGCATCTCTCATGCGTCCTAGAAGTGTCAGGTGCTTCTATACAGCCAGACTGATAATATGTTAAACAAGTGACGAACACAATACTTACCATCTTTATTTTTGTCGAGATGCGTGAACTGTAGACGAAGTTTTTTTTCATGCTCTATAACGTAGTGAATGAATTCAGCTAGACTTATGTCACCGCTTTTGGTGCTGTCAGACTCTTGCAGGAATTTCTAAAATAGCACGAGTGATGAAAATAAGTTATTTTTATTATTTTCAAATTCTTATTATCACAATTGACTATTTCGTGGCACTTTTTTTTGCATTTTGATATTGAAAATTTGGAAATCAATACGTGAAACGCAAGAAAAAGAAATTTTATGCGGATTAATAAAGAAAGGTACTGGATTTTTTTGAAAAATTCCAACGCTTATCAGTGAGGATGTCACTGAGTGATGTCTTATTTATTTTTTCGCCATCAATATATTGATGATGGGCGTCCGAATGGTCTGAAATATTACAAAAGTTTATAGCTTTATAACACTAACTAGCAGCAAAAATTTCAGGTGGTTACTGCCACCTCCATGAGTGCTATCAAAATTTCAATGTTTCGAATACTTCATATGAGCGGGTATACCCATTGTATATTTTCTGTCCAAATTTCAAGTTGACATCTCGATTTTTGCACAAGCTAGTGATACCAAATTTTTTTATGAAAAAAATTGTTTTCCGGAAAAACAGAAATATCTCGAAAACTTTGTATGAACTGGTATATATGTTTTGATTCATTTAGATAGAAGACTTCGAAACGAATATTTTGAAAACAAAAAAATCGAAATCAGTCTTCTAGTTTTGAAGATATTTGGGGAAAACGACTCAAAAATGAATCGCTTTTTCTCCAAAACTATTAGATCGATCGGCCTGAAATTTTGCACACAGATAGCCCTGATTAAGACCTATAATCTGACAAAATTTAAGATTTTTTGGAACTACTTTAGTCACTCAATTACGTAATTTTCTAAAAATTGACCACCGGGAAGGTGGTGGTGGATGTGGTCACATACAAATATGGTCGCCAAACTTCGTATTTTTACGTTTCAGACCATTCTACATAATTTCCAATCGAAATTAGAGAATGCGAAAATCAAAGGATTGCAATGCTTCCATTCGGACGCAGAAAGTAGACAAGATAAGAAATCTACAACATTACTTGTCACCACTAATGTCATCGACAATTACCCCCCATCATTCAGTAGACGTCGGCCTCAGTGAAACCTTACAAAATACAATTTAAAAATCGTCCGAGACGACAATTGAAGGGTGAAGGCTACGAATGCTCTAATGGAATACCATTACACTATTCTACTTCTGTGCTGCAAAAATGCATCCCATCCTCCCACATGAAATAACAATCTCCACATAATAACGCTCAGGACCTTCCACGAAAATGCTCCCTGACGATTTAATACCCTAATTTCCCTTGTATTAGCCTATACTGAGAATAAAAATTATTTTTGCCAAATATCCATTTACTTGAGAGAAATATTTCTTTTTTCAATACCGTATTTCTCCGGTCGAGTCATTCCCAGGCAATCATCATTAGGTTTCAATTACGTAAATTATATTGCTCTAGAAGATGATCATGTTAGTTATGATCTTGAGTAAACTCCTTCAATAATTATCAATATTAAAAAATTAATTGAAATTCTTCTCTCTAGAAAATAAGAAACTTAGGAAAAATGAATAGTCATATAATAAAATGAATAGTCATAAAAATACGAAGCATTGTAATCGTTCAAATTTAAGTTTTGAATTTTTTGTGTTATGTCGACCCATTATGATCCAAACAGTTCGAAAATGCACTTTTCGTGAGAAGACCCGGTAAACCGCGATTCTAACCTCGCTTCGCTCGGTTTGATCGCGGTTTACGGCCCTTCTGACGAAAAATTGCATTCATCACACGGTCCAAAAGTATTTTCTGACGAATGTGATTATAGGCCGAGCCGAAGGCGAGCCTACATTCGAGCCTACAAAGCCACATTCGTCAGAAAATACTTTGTGGACCTTGTGATGAAAATAACTATTTCTGTACTGCTTCTCACGATTTCTCGTCTGGGAATTGGTATTACGTACTTCCCAAACTCGAAAACTTGAAAATCACTACAGAAAAATATTGTTCCTGGGCTGTTGCGATGGGGTTTTTTTACTCGTGTGGTTGGCCACTCCTCGCCTACGGCTTGGAGGCCAACGCTACACGAGTAAAAAACCCCATCGCAACAGGCCGGAAAAATACAATAAAAATACTATGTTATTTCAAATGTAGGTATTGTTGAGCCCTATCGATCGCCGTTAATTAAAATTTAATTAATCGATTTTTTTTTAATTATGAGAAATTTATTGAATGTTGACTTAAAAAATTTGTTTCGATGTCCCTTTTACCGAGTTGGAAGATGAAGGCGATAGCAATAATCGTTACGTTGATTTATTCGAAAAATTGTAAAAATTTTGTATTTTTGAAAATCAGAATTCCGGGGATATCATTGGATATCATGTTTCAAATAAATTCAGTCCTAGCTTAAAATGTTTGTTTTAATGCCATTAACTGGAAGTTAAAAGGTGATTACGATAGCCATATTGGTTGATTTGATTTTTATGATGATTGTTGAAAATTGAGAATTTCTCATAAATTTCATGAATTTTTCATGAAAGTGAGCTTGATGTTTCAAATTCATTCAAGTATGTGCAAATAAAATTTTTCTATTAATATTTTATCGAAGGGGTGAGGGGAGAGATAGAACTGTGATGAAAAAGACAATCGGTTGTATAGACGAAAAAAGAATAATGATGCTGATAACATTCAACTAAGGTGAAAATCTGACAGAATTAAGTAAAAGGAAATCTTATTTAATTTAATAAAATGAAATAAACAATGAATTATACATGATAGAGGGAAATGATGTGCAAAATAATCATTCGGAAGCATACTGATAATTTATTAACAAAAATAACTACACTATATACAATACAAGAGCAATTTCCCACTTGTTTTCTGTGTATTCATCCAGATTCAATAAATGAATCCCTAAATAATAGCAAAGGAAATTCAAGAATACAACGAGTGAAAGCGTTGACTACGATGATGCCTGAGTGCGAAATAAAGGCAAGGTCAAATGCGTGGAGACGAAAATGAGGTCAAAGTGAATCCTAATGCGGTTAGTCAATTTGAAAAATAATTCCATAAAATTCTAAAATTCCTTCAAAATGACATTTAGAAAGATTTTCAATTGACTCACTGTCAATTTTCAAATGGATCATTCATTCAATAAATGAAGAAACATGTAAATATACCTCGGCGTATCGTTTATGAACGCCAACTTGGTGGAGAGCTTGTGCCAGATCATGCACATCGATCCTTCCGTTTCCATCAATGTCCAATTGTTGAAAAATCTTGGAAAGTCTCTCCTCAGCCTGTGCTGGTAATTCATGAAGATAATGAGGCGGTAGTACCAAATGTACATTGGCTCCACTTCTCGTTGGCATGGTTTGAAATTTTTCTTTGCACAGCTAGTCACAGAAATTCGCGATGGAAGACGCCAACCACTTCACTGCGGTATACAGCGTGCTCTCGAGCTTCCAATATTTAAAATTTCTCGAATCCTGGTGAAATAGGGGAAAGATTGAACTATCACGGGTAATTAAATAACACGAAAAGCACCGATTAATTTATATCATTAACGTGAATGCAGGGAACGAGGTTAAACCTCGCGTTGACACGATAGATTCTCGGTGCGCAACCGAGAATGTTATACGTCCAGCTGGCCAAATGTACTGACTGCTAGTACTCGCGTTTAATTCTCAATGGCAAGTACCACCAACAATTAATTTTACACAGTAGTCTCATTAATTTGGGAGATTATGCGACACATTTACTTCAATCGACTAATTAATGAATTTATAGTTGTGAATTTTCGACGGGGGTTTCCGTATACATTTCGACCGGCTTCAAAGTTCACATCATGCGCGGCGTGTCATTATTCCCGTGTCAAGCGACCGTGGTGTACACGCGTTCTTGGAAGTGGAATGAAAAGAAAAAGGGTTTTGGAACAAGTGTACGGTGGCGGCATCTGTTACTGTTGGAGGTCAACTTCATGCTGGAGCTGCTCCATTTTACGGTTGGAAAACAGAATTTTGTTCGGTCTTACCCAGATCAATAAAACCTCTGATATTGATCAGTTTTGGATCAACACTGAAACACTTGTTTAGATCCAAAACTCATCGGCATCTCGAGATCTGATCTGTCTTCTTCATATCAGATGCGATTCGGATCGAGTCATGGTTTGATATGACAGGATCGACCAACACTGACTGAGCCTCATCGAATCCAGACACTTATATAAGATCTTGATCGGATTCTAATCCAAAACTCTAATGAGAACATCCTGGATAGTGTCGAATCGAAATAATCTAATATGGAGAAAGCTGAGCTGAAGATAAAAAATTGAAAAACAAATTGCATGCTAGAGTCTATATGCTAGGTAGGGGAGGGTAGGGTAAAATGGACACTGGACTTTTTAAAAATAATTCATAACTCAGGAACAAATGTATCGATAGAGCTCAGTTTAGGCTCATCACAAAGGGAAAGAATTGTTCTTTGTATTGAAAGAAAAAATGATTAAATTTTATTAACATTTCAACCCGTCATTAATTTTTCAAAAAAAGTCAAAAGTGTCCATTTTACCCCAACCTCCCCTACCATTTTGTATCCATTGTGAGAGTTCCGGATTGAGTTGTTTTTCTTTTATTTTTTGGTGCGTAGAATCCGAATTTGAAGGTCCTTTTGCCAACAAGCGATGCAAAAAACGTTATTAACAGTTTAATTGTAGAAACCCAGCTTGCTCGAAAACTAAGGAATAAGGTAGGAATAACAAAAACAAAATAACAAATAGTTGAAATGAAAAATGTTCCTCTTGTCACGACGTGAGGCTTCACGAACCGAGAGCTGAACAAACTTTTCTGGTGAATACAAATGCAGAACTCGCCTTCAGCTCGCCCTGCAACCTCATATTCGTCAAAAAAAATTTCTTCGCCCCAATGATATAATAGTAAATTTCATCATTAGACCGAAAAAATTTTTCTGGTGAATATGACGGCTGCAATCGCATATGTTAGAAATTATAATTGAACACACTTAACACTCGATTTTTATTTTCAAAGTAATAATGAAGATCTTTATTAATTAAAGTACATAATACAAAGGTCCAAAGGTCTCAATCGGATTCATCTCAACTCTCAGTTGTCCTGTCTTCTTCTTCTTCTTCCTCTTACTACTATTTATCTACTGAGTCGGTAAATTACGTTTATGTCGCGCCGTGCAATGTCTATAATATTCTATGGATCTATATTTTCTGCACAGTGCGACATAAAATATTATAGATCACTCGGGCATAAACTTCGTTTTCAACGAATGTGACTTCGTACCTCGCCTTCGACTCCGGTCTGTAAACTTCACATTCGTCGAAAACGAAATTTCTACTATTACTCTAGTGTACTATTTCATCACGCTGTGACGAAAAGTGGAATTTCCGCCACATTGTGATGAAAAATATTGTTCGTAACTCGTGAAAAAATATTTTTTAGCTCGTTCCGAAATACTATTTTTTCAACTGTGAGGTTTGGTCGAGTGAAAAGCGAGCATTGTAACTACTCGTCGAAAAGATTTACCACGAGTTGTGTACAATTTTTTGTAAATTGCGGGTTTACAAGAATTTTTCTTAAATTGGGTGACAGCGGNTTTCAAAACTCAAAATACCTCGGCCTTCCAGTAGTTGCAAAGTGAAAGAGGCACAGAGGAATCCGATGCCTCGACTTTAAGGGTATTATGGCGGGGTCCAAGCTGAAAAAAAAAAGCAGAGAATTCAATGAAAATTGCTTAACAGATTATTCGATCCATTTGAAAGCCGCGTGCAAAATGTCAAGACCCCTACTTAAACAATAATAATGGGAATAATTTTTGAAGTTGCTACTTATACACGCGGTTGAATGGGGCATCGGTAATTTTAGTGCTTTTCCGTCGTTATTGATCTATCGATAACGTAGGAAATTCACATAAATTACCTATGCCCCATTCAACTGCGGGTATAAGTAGCAACTTCAAAAATTATTCCCATTATTATTGTTTAAGTAGGGGTCTTGACATTTTGCACGCGGCTTTCAAATGGATCGAATAATCTGTTAAGCAATTTTCATTGAATTCTCTGCTTTTTTTTTTCAGCTTGGACCCCGCCATAATACCCTTAAAGTCGAGGCATCGGATTCCTCTGTGCCTCTTTCACTTTGCAACTACTGGAAGGCCGAGGTATTTTGAGTTTTGAAACGTTTCCAATGTTTCTGAAATCGAATGAGTCAAAACTAAGGGTCAAGCAGAAGCGTCCCCTGGTACATGAGAAGAAAAATTCCTAGAGAGCTCGTCTGGGTTGATAGGGCCAGAACAAATCATTACCATCTGAATAAATCCCTGTATGACATAAAAATGGTAAACAGCCCGGAATGCTTGTGGAGACAATACTGAGACACAAGGCATAGATCACGTTCTGTGGTATTGTCCCCTGTATACTCAAGGGAGAGAACAAATGATAAATATACTAATAAAAGCTCGATGTCTCAGACCGCCCCTAGCGGACTGACTTCAGAGTTGAACTCTTGAATATTTCCACAATTTCAGAGAAAGTTCAGAGTTCGGTCAGAGTTGGGGTTATGTCGGATTCTATGTCGGATTTTAGGGGTATCTCTGAACTCTTAATAGTCCTCAGAGTTAAGAGTCCAGTATTTTTATTGTTGATCATTATTTATTCATTTCTGGGGAAGAGAGGAGGGTCCATTTGTTCTCTGAACACTCACCTGCCGTCAGAGTTAAGAGTTGAGTTTTTTTATTGTTGATCATTATTTATTCATTTCTGGGGAAGAGAGGAGGGTCCATTTGTTCTCTGAACACTCACCTGCCGTCAGAGTTAAGAGTTGAGTTTTTTTATTGTTGATCATTACTTATTAATATCTGTGGTGGGGAGG